ATCTGGGGTCTCAGCCTCCCACCCCGAGGATGTGGCAAGGGTCTTCCCAAACCTGCGGAGTGGTGGGTCAGGTGGCGGCTCCCTGACATGGTGGCCCCAGGGGGGACAGGACAGGATGGAGCCAGCTTCTCACTCCTCCATGGTAGAGCTGGATGTGGCCCAACTCATCATCATGGGCCTCGCCACCATCATGACGCTGCTGTCGGTTGCGATCTTCGTGGAAGAGGCTTTCTATCTCACCCGCAAGATCCGCTGTCCCATCAAGATGAAGACCCTTCGCTGGAGCAGCTCGGCCCCTACGGTGAGCTGAGGTGTGGGGGTGGTGGTGGGGCACCACCTCAGGGGGCCAGGGCTGCCCAAGGGGTACCAGCCCACAGAAGGTGGGGAGCAGCAGTGTGCCAAGCTCGCGTCTCCCCCAGGTTGTGTCCGTGGTCAGCTGCTTCGGGCTGTGGTTCCCGCGCTCCATGATGGTGGTGGAGATGGCAACCACAGCGTGAGTATCACCCACCCCGGGGCAGGGGCACTGGGGAGCCCATGGGGCCTGACCTGACTTCCTCCTCCTCCACCTGCCCAGGTACTTCTCCATCTGCTTCTACCTCCTGATGCTGGTCATGGTGGAGGGCTTCGGGGGGAAGGAGGCGGTGCTCAGCACCCTGAAGGGTGTACCCATGGTAGTCAGCACCGGGCCCTGCTGCTGCTGCTGTCCCTGCCTGCCCCGAATCACCATGAGCAAGTGAGGAAGACCTGGGGTAACCCCTGCCCCCGAGGAGGGCTTTCATCCCCTGCTTCTGCTGGGATGGAAGAGAAGTCCCTGGGCAGGGGCTTGGGGACCTTAGGGTGCTACTGGTCTCTCTCGCTGTGCCAGGAGAAAGCTTCAACTGATGATGCTGGGGACTTTCCAGTACGCGTTCTGCAGGGTGTTCGCCGTCTTCCTGGGGCTGGTCCTGTTCACTGATGGGAACTACAACCCTGCTGACGTGAGTGCCAGGGCACGGGCACGGGCAGGATGACATCCCGGACAGGGAGCCTCCACCTGCCCTCACTTTGCCCAGCAGTTTTATCAGCCCAGGTGTGTTTTCTCTGTGTCCCCCTACCAGATCTCGGCAGAGAGTGTGGCCCTCTGGATCAACACGCTGGTCGGTGTCTCCACACTCTTTGGGCTGTGGGCCCTGGGCATCCTCTTCCGACAGGCCCGGCTGCACCTGACCGAGCAGAACATCAAAGCCAAGTTCTCCTGCTTCCAGGTGAGCCCCTGTCCTGCACGGCTCCTCCCGGGGTGAAGGGCTCCTCCTGCATGAATGGGGAGGAGATGGTGGGGCAGGAGCTGCTGCAGGCGAGAGCCAGGTCGGGCTGCGGGACAGCAGGGAAGGCGGAGGGCAGGAGCCTGGCAGCAGCATGACACCCACCACCTCGGGTGTTGGCGGTTGCAGATCCTCCTCCTCCTGACGGCACTGCAGCCCGCCCTCTTCAGCATCCTGGCCAACAACGGCAACATCGCCTGCTCGCCACCCTTCTCCTCCAAGGCCAGGTCACAACGTAAGTTGGGGATGGGGAAGTGGCATCACCTGCTCCTGGCTGAGCCCCTCCATTGCACAGCGGGGCACGGGGAACGGGCACGGCTGATGAAGGCAGCTTCAAATGACCCTTGTCTTGCAGAGATGAACATGCAGCTGTTGATCCCCCAAACCTTCATCTTGGCGGTGGTGACCCGTATGTACTACCGCAAGCAGGACGACAAGCCGGGCTACCAGCCCGTCAGCTTTCCACCCCCATGGTGGTCAGCACCGGGCCCTGCTGCTGCTGCTGTCCCTGCCTGCCCCGAATCACCATGAGCAAGTGAGGAAGACCTGGGGTAACCCCTGCCCCTGAGGGGGGCTTTCATCCCCTGCTTCTGCTGGGATGGAAGAGAAGTCCCTGGGCAGGGGCTTGGGGACCTTAGGGTGCTACTGGTCTCTCTCGCTGTGCCAGGAGAAAGCTTCAACTGATGATGCTGGGGACTTTCCAGTACGCGTTCTGCAGGGTGTTCGCCGTCTTCCTGGGGCTGGTCCTGTTCACTGATGGGAACTACAACCCTGCTGACGTGAGTGCCAGGGCACGGGCACGGGCAGGATGACATCCCGGACAGGGAGCCTCCACCTGCCCTCACTTTGCCCAGCAGTTTTATCAGCCCAGGTGTGTTTTCTCTGTGTCCCCCTACCAGATCTCGGCAGAGAGTGTGGCCCTCTGGATCAACACGCTGGTTGGTGTCTCCACACTCTTTGGGCTGTGGGCCCTGGGCATCCTCTTCCGACAGGCCCGGCTGCACCTGACCGAGCAGAACATCAAAGCCAAGTTCTCCTGCTTCCAGGTGAGCCCCTGTCCTGCACGGCTCCTCCCGGGGTGAAGGGCTCCTCCTGCATGAATGGGGAGGAGATGGTGGGGCAGGAGCTGCTGCAGGCGAGAGCCAGGTCGGGCTGCGGGACAGCAGGGAAGGCGGAGGGCAGGAGCCTGGCAGCAGCATGACACCCACCACCTCGGGTGTTGGCGGTTGCAGATCCTCCTCCTCCTGACGGCACTGCAGCCCGCCATCTTCAGCATCCTGGCCAACAACGGCAACATCGCCTGCTCGCCACCCTTCTCCTCCAAGGCCAGGTCACAACGTAAGTTGGGGATGGGGAAGTGGCATCACCTGCTCCTGGCTGAGCCCCTCCATTGCACAGCGGGGCACGGGGAACGGGCACGGCTGATGAAGGCAGCTTCAAATGACCCTTGTCTTGCAGAGATGAACATGCAGCTGTTGATCCCCCAAACCTTCATCTTGGCGGTGGTGACCCGTATGTACTACCGCAAGCAGGACGACAAGCCGGGCTACCAGCCCGTCAGCTTTCCACCCACAGGCACCGAGGTCAAGGCGTGAGCATGAGGGAGCAAAGTGGGTGCCAAGGGGCAGAGCGATGCTGGGGGGCTGGTCTGTCCTGTGCAACCATCTCCTCCTCCTCCGGCCCTGGGAAGCTGCCGGCAGCAGAGGAGGCAGAGGGGAAAGGACACTTTGGCATGGGGTGAAAGGGTCTGAAACCTGAAGGCCACAAGCCAAAGGGATCCGTGAAGCCACCTCCAGCATGGAGGACTCTTGTCTGTCACTGAATAAAGATAAATTTGTACCTGAGTCTTGTGTTGATGACTGGGCTTGGATCGCCTCCTGCCCAGGCTGGGTGGGAGATGACTCTACACAGGGGGAGGAAGACGGAGCCCAGACCAGCACAGCCACAGCATGGGGCTGTCACGGGGTGCCCAACACCCAGCTGTGACACTGACCTCTGGGTGCTGCTGGCTGGGGTCTGACGACCAAGGCAACGCCAGGGCAGCGGCGTTTTCTCCTGAGACCTCTGGGTACGTCTGGAGGGCATGTCCTCCACACCAGAACAATGGGAGCATCCACACCCACCAGCCTGGGGCCAGGCAGAGGAAGGAGCCTTGAAGCACCTTCATAACACAGGCAATTAGTCAATGCTGCCTTAACTAGCCTTGCCCACAATCGGCCATGGTAGCAGTATCTGCTCTACACCTATAACATAGGTGGGGACAGACATCATGAGCAATGACGACTTGCAGAAACCTCTGGGTTATCTTCTCCCCCCCAACTGAAGCATCTTCTCGCTCAAACCACTGCTAAGACGGCAGGTGAGGAGACCATGACAGGAGCTGACTGTGCTAGGATGGCAGAAGGGGTCTGGCACACATTGAGTAAAATGACTTTACATTTATTTGGCTAAACATTAAAAGCCAAAAACCCAACTCCAGAACAAGCCAGTACGACACATGGGTGTGCCCACAGGCCCACACAGAGATACCAGCAGAGCGAACACTGACCGGGAAGAGCCAACTCGAAGCAGTGGCTGCTGTGGGGCTGGAGGTGATGGCAGGACTGGGTGATGCAGCGTGGCCGGAGACGGGCAGCAAACAGATCACCAGGGCTAAGACCAGAGCCGGCTGCTGGGCACCGACGAAGCTTCCCCTGACCTGTGCCCTCCAGCCCTCCCAACGCAATACCTCTGGCCAGCACGAGACATTGGGGAAGTGAAGAGTCAGAAAGCCAAAGCTCCTGACTTTTATTTATTTGATTAATTTTGAGGGAAAAAAAGCAAGTTTTCTGTCCCATGAGGAGGAAGGAAAAAAGTGACTCTGAGCTTTTTGAGCTGTATTCAAAGTGAAACTGCTCAGCTGGAAGATGAACTGGTGATTAGTTATGAGATTGCCAAATTTGACAAACTGGCGGCAACAGCACATGGCCATTACCACCACGGCTTTCTACGCCCCAGCAGAAGCGCTGGGCCCCAGCAATCTCATGGGTTTGCCAAGAAGCAACACGCGGGCAAGCAGCAAAATATGGGACTGGTTCCCTGCCGTCAGACAGCCAGACCCAGCTCCTTCTCCGTGGGCAGGTAGGAAACCCACACCTTTACACCAGCAAAAAGCCCTCCCTGAAGGCAGGGGGCAAGATGCAGGGTCTGTCCCACCAAAGCCACCGCTACTGCCAAGTGTATTCACTGCTCCAGCACCCGCCTCCAGTCACAAGAACTGGACCCTACGGTAAAGTCCCCACCCTCTATAAAATACACAAAATCATGTCAGTGCAGGCGTGTGCCATAATTTCCTCAAGAGATTAAAAACCTTTGCCTGCAACCTTAACCAGCATGCTGTTAACGTGCCACACTTTTCATGCCTTGCTTCTACCAGCATCCTTGGCACCCTTCAGCTTTGCCCGGGTGCTGCTGTTCCCTGCCACGAGAAAATCCTCTCCAGGGGCTGGCTGTGGTGCCAGCAGCCCCACACCCCAGATCTGTAAAGGAATGGAGGTAGGGCTGTCTTGCAGGAGTTGACACCCCCGGATTTAGCAGCATCAAACTCCCCGTGTTCTTCAACACATGCTAGCAAAGTTTTATTTTTCCACTCTACCTCTTGCATCATGCTTAATTCAAGCATGTATCTTCCAGATGCTCGTTTTGAAGAGTGTGGGATGGGTGAGGTGTGTGCTGGACAGCCCCAAAGCAGCAGCACTGGGTGTATCTGCAGGAGATAAGAAGTTCCTGGAGAACTTGGCTCACATGTCTTGCCCAGAGATGAAGCTCTGTCCTATTCCTGATAGGACAGGGCAGTGCTGGAGATAAGGCTGGTGCAGCAATCCAGGAGGAAACAAATAAACAAAAGGGGGGGAAAAAAAAAAAAAGACGACTCGTCTGGGATTCGAGTGTCCATTTTAATTTAAGTGCAAGGATGAAGCAGGGATTATTGGTTACAATAATAATAACAGCTCTGTTATTCCAAGCTACATGTAGAACCATGGCTGGCTTCTTACCATGCACCCCAGGTTTTGCAGGGAGATCAAGAAATACGTTAAGGTCTCCGCAGAACAAGCCACCATCCAAAACACCATTGCTATCGGAAATTACAGAACACTGTTGCATAACTTGTGTTTAAAACAGTAGTAAGGCTCTAAAGCAGCCTGGCCTTCGTGATCTGGCTCGGGAAAGTAACACAACACCCATACTGAGGGAAGGGTGAGGAAAGGAAGGTGGGGAGGATGAGGGAAGAGAGAACGTAGGTGATATAAAGTAAGTGCTCTACCACTCATAAACCAGGGGATTAACAACTGGCTTGTCCCAAGTGAGCATTATTTGCTCCTTACAGCTTCAAATCCATAGCAGCCAGCCACACTCCCAGAGCTGTGCACATCCTTGCTGAGAGAGATCTAAGTGGCAGACGAGGAATGCCCAAAATACCCTTTCCCATACCGGCTCTGGCCTCAACAGAAGCACAGAGTCTCTGTCAAGCCCTTAAGGCAGCATGACAAAGGATCAGCAAGATAAAAGCTGGGAAGAAGCGGCAGCCTGCTCCTACCACAGGGCCCCTGTGTCCCCGGGGCAGCATCGCACCGCGCAGAGCCTGTGGCAGCTCTTTGTGGTTTGCCTCCTTGCACCCACGGGCTCCCCGAGCCCCACATCCCGCTCCGGAGACTTCCCTGCAGCGATGCTGACCAGGCTCCGAACTGTCCTCTGCCCCCAGCATCGCAGGAGGAGACAGGCAACTCAGCCCAGCAGCTCCATCCAGAGACAAGGCATATCACAGGCAAACCCAACCAGAAAAGCAAGTGGGAGTTTTCACAGCTACATGACAGACAGTCCAGTCCCTCCAGTGCCGGCTGCTGGGACAGAGTGCACCGACCTGCTCTGTACACGGGCACGCAGCATGGGGAGGGCAACTGCCTGCGGGGAGCCGCAGGCCACACAGCTCAGTGTTTATTACAGACACAACAGCAGGCACGACTCGGACCATGGTTTCACACGAGCGGATTACATGTTTAAAATCCTAAAAAGCTG